CCCTCCCAGCCAGATCGTCCGCCACACTATCATAGTCATACTGTAAGTCGCTGATAACTGCGTCTGTAGCTGCATTAATTCCGGTAAATATACCATCATTTGTAGACGCTATAACTTTCACACAAAAAAAAAAAAAAAAAAACACCAATAAGTGTATATTTTTCCAACAGATGTAGCAGAATACATTTTGGCCTAAATTTATCAAGAAATTTTTTATTATTGGATATGTTTTATAACAAAGTAAAATATCGTTTTTTTTAATTCAAAGTTTTCGGTCTTTTTTTTTTTATTTATACCATAAAAAATAACCCAGCGGTGATCAAATACTAAAAAAGAAAACTCTATTTGTGTGTGTGTGTGCGTGTGTGTGTGCGTGTGTGTGTGTGCGTGTGTGTGTGCGTGTGTGTGTGCGTGTGCGTGTACCCAAATTAAATTTATATCTCTTTTTTTTTTTTTTTCAGCGTTGCATGACGAGCAATTGCCAGGTAGCCTCCCTAGCGGTCTGATTATGTCCATATTTCTGTGCTCAAAGCGGTACATTTTTTTGCATGGAAATATGTATTTTTTTTTTTTTATTGTAGGCCTGTAATTTTTAGGAATAACGCACTGAAATCTGTCCGAACAAGAGTCTAGTAAACATCCCGGGTATGATAAAATTTGAAACAGAAAATCATAAATTATAATTTAATAAATCATAAAAAATAATATAATAATAAATTTAATTCATAATGTAATCAAACCAAAAACACTGAAATTTGAAATATAGTGCCAAATTCGCGCATCGCTGAGCAAAATTGTTTTCAGTGTCTGATGAGGAATTTCCCTACGAATCATCACTCAATTCTGTAAGTGGTTCTGATTTACTATCGCTGTTCTCTAGCCGGTCTAAAACCGCTTTTGACCTAAAGAGACGCTTTTTGGACGCCATGGACGTTTCTCAGTTTCCGGGCAGAAAGAGCAGTAAAATTGCAGGCAGGGCGCCGGACAAAGCACTCGGGACTTTGATACAGTAATGTTATACTATGTGATTTTAGTCTGTCGAATTTTTTAATTTCCCGCCGTTCCGTCCCCCACACGTCCCGACGTCGCAGGGGATGGAACCTGGGAGACAGATGCCGGCATCGGCCGGAGGACATTGCCGGGGACACTGCAGGAGGGACATCGCAGGAGCAAAGGACAAGGTAAGTGCAGAAGAGATCCCAGAGCAATGCTGCAGGGTAATCCCGAGTGTAGCTCGGGGTTACCGCTTGTGCTGAAACGTTACCCAAGCTACACTCTGGTATACTGCCAGGGAGGTTAAAGTAGCGCAGCACTGAATAGCAAGAAATGCCCTGGTCATGAAGGAAGTAAAACCATCTGGAAGTCAAGTGGTTAAGATATGCATTTGCACTTTGTATTCCAACTTTGAATTTTATTATTTTTTTTTTTTTTTTTCTTCCTTAAGTGCTTGATTTTAGATATATTGCAACTCTGTTTTCAGCCCTTTATTGCCATAGACCTGACTGCAGACAATCCGCCTCTGCAAAGTTTATATTCTGGACGCGTCATGATCGGCTGGAGAGCCAGTGATTGGCACCGTGCATTGTGCTGGGCCTCTATGACAGAACAACTCTAGATCACATCTAATGACCTGGAGGGCAGCCAAAGGGACCAAGTGTTGGCTGGGACCTTTCAGATGAACTGTCAGATGCCCGCTCTCAAAGCAGCTAAGCGGACTGTCAGTCATTGCCCCGCAGATATCACCGCTAGACCTGCACACGGCAAAGGATGGCCTACTGCGTCTTCTCCGGGAGGCTACGTTTGAGCCTGGAGGCATCCTGTCCTCCCTAATAACAGCTGCTGACAATACATTATCTTGTGTGCCTATTGAAATTTGTGTTTTCTGTCTTTTGTGATATGCAGAGCAGCAGAAACAGTTTTTTTTATTTAGATCTTTTGAATTTGAGGCCCAGTTGCAGGTGTGAATGCAGCATAATCAAAATAAGACTTTTCCCCTCCTTTGAAAATAATCGTTTGTAAAAGTGAACCTCCAGGCAAACCGCTAAATGCACAAATTACATTTATATTATTATTATTATTCAGGATTTATATATTATTATTATTATACAGGATTTATAGATTATTATTATAATACAGGATTTATATATTATTATTATACAGGATTTATAGATTATTATTATACAGGATTTATATTATTATTATTATTATTATTATTATTATTATTATAATACAGGATTTATATTATTATTATATACAGGATTTATATATTATTAAACAGGATTTATATAGCGCCAACAGTTTGCTCAGCGCTTTACAATATAACTGGAGACAATACGGCAACAATACAGTTCAATACAAGAGGGATAGGAAGGGCCCTGATCCTGGGAGCTTACAATCTAAGATATAATGGAGCTGTTTTTCCTGCCAACAGATTTGTACTTTTTTTTTTTTTTTTGCCCATCCAGTTCTAAGATATATATGCTGCGTTTTCCAAAGAAGTGCAGGGACTTCTTTCCTGTGTGTCACGGGCACGGGAGTCCATTCAAATGATTGGGCTCTCGTGCCTGGGCAAAACGCGGCCGGCATAGGTGTGAACCGGGGGTTAATGTAGCTTAAAAAAGAAAAAAAATGATTGAACGATACTTACCATAAAATAATTATTCAGTCCCTTCTCCAAAAAATTTAAAAATACTGTAGCTGTTGACTTTTTCATAAAAGGACACTTACCTGTCCAGGGTTCAACACTACAGTAGCCTCACCTGGGCCAGTTATTCGCCAGTTTTGGGTCCCCGGTGTTGCCTTGCGAAGTGTGGGAAGCCGTCTGTGACTCCTGGCTTGACAGCCGGCTCCCCATTGTGCATACAAACCACGCTGCGCCCTGTAAATGGTCCTGCAGCCTTCCAGAACCTATGACGTGTCCCAAGAAGGCTGTGGCTGGAGTTCAGCTCAGATTGCCTAAGCAATCTGGGTAGAAATAGATGCGGGTACCTGACACCCTCCCAAAAAAATGCCCAAAAATTAAAAGGGGGGGGGGGGGGGTGGAGCAAAAATCAATCAGAATCGCATTAAGTAGGATGTGTCCCTTGTGTTGCTGTGTCCTCCTCAGGATGAAAGCTTCCTCTTCTGATCCCCCCCCATTCTCACCCCTATCGCAGTACTTTTCTGATGCGGCGGGGATTAATACAGCTAAAGGGCTGTCACAGGCACTCCTCAAGGAAACCTGACTATGTCCACCCTTTTCTCCTAGCTGCCATTCATACAGTGCCTTGAAAAAGTATTCATACCCCTTGACATTTTCCATATTTTGTCATATTACACCCAAAAACGTAAATGTATTTTATTGGGATTCTATCTGATAGATAGACCAACACAAAGTGGCACATAATTGTGAAATGGAAGGAAAATTATAAACTCTTTTCGCAGGGAGATAAAAACCAGCACATCCCCGCTGACAGGAGAGAGATTTGTGTTTGCATTCACAGATCTCTCTCATGTCAATTGCTCCACCAGTTGCCAGGTCCCAGCCATCGCTGGCCAGTACCTGGTGATTGACAGCTACAGGAGCCAGTGACAGTGCAGGTTAAAGTGGTGTTCCAGTTGATTTAAAAAAAAAAAAAAAAGTCTGAAGCTACCAAAACTGTAGCTGCTGACTTTTAAAATACAGACACTTGCCTGTCCCTCAGTCCAGTGGTGTCCTTACAACAGCTGGTTTCACCGACCGGCTTCTTTCACTGGCGCCGGCATCTTCAGGGTGAGCACCCGGCTGTGACCGTTTGCAGCTTCACAGCCGGGTGCCCACTGCGCATGTGCGAGTAGCGCTGCACTTTGTCAGTGGTCCCGTAGTCACATGTCTCAGAAGACAATGGGGAGGAAGGAGGACAACTTTTGTTTCTGATCGAAGTGGGAGCGTGTACCTGTCAAATTCGGGTACCCGCTCCCCAAATGTGCCAATTCTTAACGGGGAGCAAGACTTAAAGCGGAACTTCCCCTTTTGTGTGGAGCTCTGCTTTAAACAACCCATTCAGTTTACAATTTAAATAAAAAGGCAAAACATCTGTGTATAGATTAAAAGAAAATACTTTTTTTAATAATTGCTCACATACCCTCTGTATTCAGCTGCACAAGGAGCTCAGAGGTGGGGGAAGAGAAACCGCATCACACTGGTCTTCCCAGTGAAAGGCTTTACATTGGGGGGGGGGGGGGGGTTGCATCAGGACAAGTCTGGTCATTGTAGGAGAACAGGCTGAATTCCCAGCACAGCTAAGGAACTGACCACGCTGTGCTGTCATACCTAGTGTGGTCTGTTTTGATAGGTTGATAGGAAAGGATGACTGGCAGGAACACCAGGGACTTCACACAAAGCAATGAATACAAAGAAAACAGGATACTTTTTTTCATAGAGGTGCTTTATTTATTATTATTTAGGATACAAGTACAGGGTACAGCAGGAACATATCAGGAATATGAAATGTTGAGTATTATTCTGCTAAAATTTAGTGTAGTAGTACTACTTGGACCTTGAAGACGGGGGAAACACCCCGAAAGCTTGTGCTGAAAATTTGAGCATTAACTAGTAGCCGACTGCAGATAGCCGAATGACGGCTGCACTGCGGCCGGCCAGTTCTGAGTGGACGTCATATGACGTCCCCCCAGAACGCGCTCTCCTGTACGCCCCAGGGGGCGCGTACCCGGCGATCTCCGTGAACGCTGTGTCCTACGGACACAGCTGATCACGTGATGTGGTAAAAGGCCAATCACAGCGGCCTTTTACCACGTGATCAGCGGTGTCCAATGACACGCTGATCAGAGGGAAATGCAAGTGCCGGTTCTCGGCTGCACTTTCCTCACGCTGTCAGATCGTGAGGAAAGTACTGCCGAGAACCGGCAGTTGTCAGAGCGGGGATCGGCACCGATCATCAGGGCACTGATGATCAGTGCCCTGATGATCGGTGCCCAGCAGTGCCACCCGCAAGTTCCGCCCACCTGTGCCCAGCAGTGCGCCCACTAGCTCCGCCCACCTGTGCCCAGCAGTGCACACACCTGTGCCACTCTGCAGTGCCACCCACCTGTGCCCACCAGTGCCACCCACCTGTGCCCACCCACCAGTGCTGCCCACCAGTGCCACCCACCAGTGCAGCCCAGAAGTGCTTCCAGTCAGTGCCACCAGTCAGTGCCCAGCGGTTGTGCTAGTCAGTGCCGCTAGTCAGTGCCCAGCAGTGATGCCAGTCAGTGCCGTCTATCAGTACCCATCATCAGTGTCGCCTATCAGTGCTGCATATTAGTGCCGCCTATCCGTGACACCTCATTAGTACTGCCTATCAGTGCCGCCTATCAGTGCCCATCAGTGCTGCCTCATCAACGCACATCAGTGAAGGAGAAAAATTACCTGTTTGAAAAATTTTATAATAGAAACAAAGAAACTTTTTTTTTTTTTTTTCAAATTTTTTGCATCTTTTTTATTTATAGCGCAAAAAAAGTAAAGCGCCCAGTGGCGATTGAATACCACCAAAAGAAAGCTCTATTTGTGAGAAAAAAATGATCAAAATTTCATATGGGTACAATGTTGCATGACCGCGCAATTGTCAATCAAAGTGCGGCAGCGCTGAAAGCTGAAAATTGGCCTGGTAAATAAGGGGGTATAAGTGCCTGGTAGGCAAGTGGTTAACGCAAATAAAAAGTATCCGGGACTCAGCCGTTCGGATCTCTGCAGAAAGCCAAATGGCGCAGACAGCTGTAATGGCCTGTAGCCCGTGGTGGCAGACAGTAATAAATGGGCTACATGGATCATGGCCGGGTATACATTCATCTTTAGCTGCAGGTGAATGTTCATAAAGAGCAGCACTCCGTGTTGTTGTTCCCTCTCCCCTCCATCAGTGACTGCGATGTTATCGGTCAGGGAGCCTTCCTCTGTGTGTGGGGGATAGGAGGCCACATTGGAGGTTGGGGTGTCAGAAGGTTTATAATTCTTTAATAGATCTTCCCGTTACTCCTGACTACCCTGTGTATGAAAAACAAAGCAGATCACAGCAAACCTATACTGTGCTGGTATCGAGGTCACGTTCTGAGATTTTCACTGCTGTTGATCTCACATTTTGCATGCTTGCTGTGCCATGTTTTCATCGGTAGATTAGTCCAGTCCTCCTCTAGTGGCTGTGTGTGTATTAGCAACCCTTCTAAAGAAAACCCTGAGATCTACAGTACGTTGTACCGGATACAATCCCATCTCTTCTGGCTAAGGGACTGACAGTCCTGCATTGATTGAGAGGAACATCAAAGCACAATCACCGAGTGACACTCTGAGCAGAAGCTCTGCCACCTTATGTATTAAAACTCAACTGATGTTTCCTCTAAAACAGTAGTGCCGAACTCCATTTCATAGCGGGCCGTATCAGCATTGTGGTTGTCAAAGGGCCAATTGTATCTGTACGACTAATGTCCGGAGCCCCCCCATCATCAGAAGAGTCCCCCACCCTCCTTTACATCACAGTGCACCCCCTTACCATGTGCTGCTGCCGTGAAGAAGCTGGGGGTAGAGCTGGGAAGCAGAAAGTGCAGAGTCTGCATGAGGACTGGAGGAGGATAGGAGTCAACTGCGGGAAGCTGATGAATGCTGAGACCAAGAGAGGTGGACATGAGGGGGTGCTGCAGCTGATCTGTAAGAGGAATTCTGTACTCATCTCTGCTGCTGCGATTGGGCAGAGCAGAGACGAGGTGGGGGTGGAGACGAAGGGGGGCGTAAAGTTGTGGGCTAGGTGCAAGGGCCACATGAAATTGCCCATGGGCCAGACCCAGGCCACTAGGCCGAGAAGAGACAAGGTGGGGGTGGAGATGGGGGCGCAAATTTGCAGGATAGGTGCAAGGGCAACATGAAATGGCCTGTTGGCCCATGGGCAGAGCAGAGACAAGGTGGGGGTGGAGACAAAGTTGGGCGCAAAGTTGGGGGATAGGTGCAAGGGCCACATGAAATGGCCTGTTGGCCCATGGGCAGAACAGAGACAAGGTGGGGGTGGAGACGAAGGGGAGTACAAAGTTGCAGGATAGGTGCAAGGGCCACATGAAATGGCCTGTTGGCCCATGGGCAGAGCAGAGACAAGGTGGGGGTGGAGATAAAGGGCCACATGAAATGGCCTGGTGGCCTGGGTTTGGCCCATGGCCCATGTGTTTTGACACCTCAAAAAGTAAATGAGCTCCAGATGTTGCCAAATGGTAGTTTGTGAAGTTTCTTTTATGGGCATTGGAGATCCTTTTGGAATAAATTGGGCCCCCCCCCCCCCCCCCCCCCCGGCATTCAGCTGCAAAATTGACCATATGTTTTTCTGTGTGTAAGCCGCAGTCTCTCTGCCTTGCCCCAACATTTCCCCTGCACAGTCAGACCTGTAAGGACTCATTCATACCAGTGTTGGGCTCAGTCTACATTCAGATCAGTCAGTGAGGAGGCATTGTATCACTTCTTCATGGCCTGCTTTAACCTCCTAAATCCTGCTGTAGCCTGCCTGAGGTTGGGGGGCCCTACAGAGCGGTCCCATGCCCCTGTACACGACAGGAGGTATAATTCCTGCCGTGACTGTGAAGCAAAGCATCGTGGCCACTGTATGTATACACCCCCAGTCACTTCCTCTGCAGCAAAAAGGGGTAGCAGTTGGGGGAAGGGGATAAAAGTGTGGCTCAACTATAGGGTTTTACCGCCCCTGAACTGCTAAGGGGAACGAGCCCCAACTATGCAATCGGCAAAGCTCACACTCCCTGCTGATTGGACAGTCCTTGCGCTTACTTTGCAGGGAGTGTGTTGGACTGCTGTAGAGAGATCGCTGCTTACATGCAGATGGCAAGCATTTCACAAGTTATCAATTGGCTGCATCCTAAGTTCATTGATTTATTGCAGCAATCGATCATCTACAGATAATGTGGTCATTGATTGATTTATTGCTACACTCGATCATCTGCAGCAATAAATCAATGACCACATTATCTGTAATCGATCATATACAGATAATGTGGTCATTGATTTATTGCAGCAATCGATCATATACAGATAATGTGGTCATTGATTTATTGCAGCAATCGATCATCTACAGATAATGTGGTCATTGATTTATTGCAGCAATCGATCATCTACAGATAATGTGGTCATTGACTTATTGCTGCAATCGATCATCTACAGATAATGTGGTCATTGACTTATTGCAGCAATCAATAATAAACAGATAATGAGTCATTAATTTATTGCAGCAATCGATCAATACAGATAATGTGGTCATTGATTTATTGCAGCAATCGATCATTACAGATAATGTGGTCATTGATTTATTGCAGCAATCGATCATATACAGATAATGTGGTCATTGATTTATTGCAGCAATCGATCATATAGAGATAATGTGGTCATTGATTTATTGCAGCAATCGATCATATACAGATAATGTGGTCATTGATTTATTGCTGCAATCGATCATATAGAGATAATGTGGCCATTGATTTATTGCTGCAATCGATCATATACAGATAATGTGGTCATTGATTTATTGCAGCAATCGATCATATAGAGATAATGTGGCCATTGATTTATTGCTGCAATCAATCATATAGAGATAATGTGGTCATTGATTTATTGCTGCAATCGATCATATACAGATAATGTGGTCATTGATTTATTGCTGCAATCGATCATATACAGATAATGTGGCCATTGCAGCAATCGATCATCTACAGATAATGTGGTCATTGATTTATTGCAGCAATCGATCATATACAGATAATGTGGTCATTGATTTATTGCTGCAATCGATCATATACAGATAATGTGGCCATTGATTTATTGCTGCAATCGATCATATACAGATAATGTGGCCATTGATTTTATTGCTGCAATTCGATCATTACAGATAATGCGGTCAGCAATCGATCATATACAGATAATGTGGCCATTGATTTATTGCTGCAATCGATCATATACAGATAATGTGGCCATTGATTTATTGCTGCAATCGATCATATACAGATAATGTGGCCATTGATTTATTGCTGCAATCGATCATCTACAGATAATGCGGTCATTGATTTATTGCTGCAATCGATCACATACAGATAACGTGGTCATTGATTTACTTTTAAGGGAAAGCTTTAGCTGTTATCTAAAGTAGATCCAAACCCATTCAGCAAAGTGGTAAAATAAAAGCTGTAACTTGTTAACAGAATGTTTTTAGTGGTTTTAAATCCGCAGCTTTCAATGAAATATCTTCTAATCCTACCATTGCCCTGTTTAGGCACTTCCTGTTATGGGCTGACAACTGTCTTCGAATTCAGCTCCTATGTTGTCACATACATCGCTGGTGGAGTGTACGATTAGCCAGGTTGACACACATTGCACGGTATGGAGAAGTGGCTGAAAGATGCTGCAGAAGATCAGCAGTGCTGAGATGTAAAAAAAAAAAAGAGAACGGTACTTTATGAAAGGCAATTATTTGACACGTATCAAACTTATAGTGGAACAAACCCCAAAAATAAAATTACCTCCCACCTTCCAGTGATGAAGAAGTTATATCTCTCGCCGGCTGCTGTCATCTTCATCTTTTGGGTGCCAGGTTTCTAGCCTCTTGATTGGCTGGTGGGGTGGTGACGTCATCTCGTGCACCTGCACAGGAGTCAGTCGTTCCTGGACAGCCAGAGTGAGTTGGAATGTGTGCTGAGCTGCGCATGCGCAGATCAGTGCTCCTTGAGTAGAATACTGAGAGCAGGCAGGTAAGTGTGTGTTCTTGCAGAAGAGACATGGCATGTCCTGGGTGCAATGAAGAGCTGTTGGATCACAATCTTTTAGGGGTCATGCACATTTTTAGCTCAAAAACACTTCTTTTATAGGTGTTTGAGCATTTATTTTTGTTTGACTTTAACCACTTGCCACCCGGCCTATGGTCAAATGACGGCCGGGCAAAACACCTCGTCCCATCGGGAGGGTGTCATATGACGTCCCTCCTGGATCGCGTTTTGCACGTGCCTGCAGGGCCGCGCTGTGGCGAGATCTGTCACCGGCCAAGTACCTCGGACAGGGCTGTTGACGGATCCGTGTACCGGCCCCGTTGCCAGTACCATGTGACCTGCTGTGACCAATCACAGCAGGTCACATGACGGTTATATACAATGGATGACTTCCTTTCATGCCATCCGTTGTATACAACTGTGTCTAGCTGTGAATGGTCACAGCGATCACATACACAGGCTGGGCCAATCACAGCCCATCTATGTCACGTGATTAGCCGCGGCCAATTCCAGCTATTCGCAACAAAAAAAACCTGAATGAATCGATTTCATTCAGTTAAATGCTTGCTTATAGCAAAGAAATAATTTGCTATAAGAAATCAAATTGTGTTTAAAAAAAAAAAATACTGATCACTTCCTCA